TTTCGTCGCTCTTGTTCGAGAAATAGTGCCGGAAGTGGAAGTGTGAGTGACAGGTTACTGCGTTGTTTCGCGTCGGCCCTTATCTTCGCGAAATAGGGACAGCTGATTTGAATTTTTCTATCTACTTTTGTAGGGCAGACGCTTCTCTACCAGAATCTATGACTTTTTTCCGCGTTTCGTCGTTTTTTTTCGAGAAATAGTGCCGGAAGTGGAAGTGTGAGTGACAGGTTACTGCGTAGTTTCGCGTCGGCCCTTATCTTCGCGAAATAGGGACAGCTGATTAGAATGTTTCTATCTGCTTTTGTATGGCAGACCCTTCTCTACCAGAATCTATGACTTTTTTCCGCGTTTCGTCGCTCTTGTTCGAGAAATAGTGCCGGAAGTGGAAGTGTGAGTGACAGGTTACAGCGCAATTTCACGTCGGCCCTTATCTTCGCGAAATAGGGACAGCTGATAAGGGTTTTTCTATGTACTTTTGTAGGGCAGACTCTTCTCTAGCAGAATCAGTGTTTTTTTTTTCGTTTTGGCCTTCCATTTGCGAATCAAAGTAATTAGTGTCTAGACGGAATACATGTATTGATTCGTTGTTTTTTATCGATTCGTGGATTCTAGATTTCGACTGTTTATTTTGCTGCTTGATTATTATAGTTTCGGAATTTTAAATTTGGAGTTATTTTTGTATTAATTGGAATGTTAAGTGGCTTGTGCGAAATACGACTGTGCCTGTTCAAATATTGCAAAAAAATCTAGTTTGTACTAATGCTATTATACGTGAGCACAGTAGCCTTTGTTTTCACTATGTTCGCTATATATATAATTAACTGCAACCAGTCACACATATTGTTTCGGAGCACTTTTTGTCCGACATTGCGGATAACCAGAGAAATTGTAAACATGCGACTTACCGATTGTTCACCTCATCGCCGTATCAAAACAGCTTTGGTTTGACTGTAAGCTTCGTCCTGTCATCAGCGTCAATCTATTCTTCCCTTGACTCAGCGTCTAGGTAGCGATGTCAACATTGTAAGTCTTTTTTTTTCTTGGAACTCTTTCAAAACGCACTCGCGATGTCGCAGTCGTGTACGATCTTGCTTTGACCGGTATCGAATAAAAATAATCGCGTGAAGAATCGTTCGGACGTATATGATTTAGTAGAATTACGGTAATAATTTAATAGTTACAAAAGTATTTAATATTTACTGACACAAATGAAATTAAAAGGGCGTGTAATATTTATTCAACTGTTAGAAACATAATTTGATATAAAAATAAAATGATGTAATTAAATGAATAATTAAAAATTAAAAGTAAATAAATAGCATAAATTATTAAGTGTTACACGTAAATAAATAAATAAAATAAATTTCAGGAAAAAAAGGAAGTAAAATCAATTATTAAATGTTGAACACAAATATATAAATAAAACGAATTCTTACAAAAAGTTAATTGATTAATGAAATAAATTATTGGAAGTTAATTATAAATAAATAAATTAAATAAATTGTTGAAAGAAATTAATTGGTTAATTAAACAAATTATTAATAGTATAAAATATGTAGTAAATCAAATAAATTATTAAAATTTAAACATAAATAAATAAATTAAATATGTTATTAAAGCTGAGAAATTAATTAAAAATTGATTAAATTATTAAAAGTGGAAAATTAATTAAAAAATCGATTAAATTGTTAAAATTGTGAGGTAAATAAGTAAATTAAATAAATAATTAACAGTGAATAATCAATCAATAAATAAAATAAATTATTACAAATGAAAAATAGATAAATAAATTAATTTATGCTGTTCGAGTTTCGATGTATACGTAATGGCGGCCGAGGAGCAACTGATATGTCCTGTGACCTCCAAGTGTCTATAGAAACCGACGGTACCCTTACCGAGGTCAAACAGAAATTCACGATCTCAACGGATTTTGCAAATATATGCTTCGTATAATTTTTAATAACAATATATACACTAACTTACATATGTACCATTAATTTTTCATATAAAAGAACATTTACTTCCTCGTAACAATTATTTCTAAAGTATAAGAGTTTAAAACAAATTTTTAAAGTTAAAAATTGCGTGCAATAGCTAAAATCGATATTATCCAAAGGGTTATGCTCATACTCGTGAACTATACAGCTCGTACCCATCACTCGTTCTAAAATAAGCTAAAATTCGCGTTTTTAACAAACTTCGCAATATTACATGACTTATAGATATATACTCTACATCTAAGAATGCTTGCACATGTTTTTAATCGTGCACTGATATAATTTCTTATAAGTATGTTCAATAAAGGAGTTCATAATGCTCATGTATTTAATTTTGTAACTATATCACATAATATACAAAGGTGAATTACGGAATAGATCTATCAGTGTACATTGAATGCTTTTATCGCGTAACTTAGAGAAAGTAGAGATCCTTTACCACTTTGGAGTCAATCTCAGTATCACCGATTTGGAATAGTATAAGAATACAAATAAGAATAAGTCAGAATGAGCATAAGATCGTAAATTTCGACTTGGTACACCCTCCTCTATTCAACTTACTTGCACAGTCCGACCTGTGCTAGTGCAACTGTTTATTCACATATTTTTCGAAGTAGCAGCTAGTTACAGCCAATTCTTTTCCCAAAATAAAGAGAAGACTTCAAACTCTAAGACGTCGTAAGAACCTCTCTATAGCAATACATACTCGAGTATCATTTCTTCCCCACAATCCCTCAGCAATCATTAACCGCACGCAATCCCTTTCACCTAACCTCAAACCTAAAATCTCGCTTAGCGGGCTGTAAAAACCAGTAGCGAAAGAAGAACAAGCCCAGCGTGAAGCCTGTGCGCCAACTGCAGCCTCCAAAGGCCCTCGAATGATCTGAAAAATCAACAACGCTCGATGGACCATTTGCAGCCGCTCGTAGACTAGCAACTCCGCTCCCAGAAGCCTTTTCGAGGCGGCCGCGTTCGAAACAGGGCGCGAGCGTGTTTCGCGCGCTGGGCGGGGGGTGGCGTGCAGGTCTGAGGTGCAGACGGCCGCGGTGCTGCCGCCAAGCTGGTGGAGGGTGGCGGAAAGCGGGAAACCAGTGTGTCCACAGTTCACTACGGCCTCGCAAGCCGTTCGAACGGCACCCGGTCGCGTCGCGGCACCCCGGCCCAGTTCGCGATGTAAACAAGCCACTCGTCTGTAACACCGAATTCGAACGTGTCGCGTTGTTCCACTGGGGACATTCTGGAAAGTCGTGCACGCCAGGATCGATCCACCGACCAGCTCGACATTGAGACATTAGCTGCACGTGTCTGGCATGCAATGGGTCTAACGATCCTTGCTTATTCGACTGATTAACAGACGTCTATGGACCTGGGGACGAGAGGATTTACGAGAGACAGGCAGATTCGTTGGAGATTATCAGAGTTCTGACCAGTCGATGGTTAGGTGGACAGGTGTTTGGTGAGATGATAGGAACATGTGGCTGAGTTTAGGTGCTGGTGTAAACGACTTGGAGAACTGTTCACAGTAAGGTGGACTTCGAATGTAGGTCCTGTGTAACTCGTTGATTCAGGGATTTTGGGTACTTCGCGAGTGTCATCGAGTGTTAGTCAATGTTGAGTTAACGAATTGTATCAAGTCTGTCTGTTAACGCAGTCGAGTATCTTCATAGACGATCGTGATTTCGATGTGGACGAAGAGATGCTTCTGAAGAGACTGCGGAACAATGTCATTATCTTTAAACACAGAGAACGAGGCTGTCTTAAAGGGGTCTCTGCTTTAAAGAACGGATTAATCGTGGCTGGTGCAGATTTTAATTAAGAACAGCGAACACTGTCCCAGCTTAATCCCTCGACGAGACTAATTCGCTCCCTCTGCTTGGTCTGGCTTCAGCCGGTGTACCCGATAGCTAACTCTTTTGTTGGAAAAACGAAAAACAAAGGGGAAAAGGAGTGCAAAAGATGCGAGTTCCTTGGGAAATTTTTCAAGGAAACTTCGCGAGAAAAGACGGTCGTTAATTCCGATCTAGGACTAAAGGAATCTATCAAACAGGTGTCAAAGGCTAGACTAATTAGGCTAGGATCAATCGAATTGGGTGACAGGATGGAACAAAGTGACCAACAGACATTCTGCTGAAGTCTATTGACAGTGTGTAGAGAAGAAGTTGGAGGTGTGTTGAAGATTTTTGAAGTATGTGGACGATTCGAGGATCGGTAGTGAAATGTTGATCGGAAATGGAGGAGACAACAGGGACGAGAGCTTCGCGTCGGATAACATGATGCTCGTTACACGTCGGGAACCACTGCACCTGTGGAATCTTGAGGTAACTGTTCACTTTGCAAACGACTATTATTACACTCCCACTGAATATTGCATCTCTTTAACCACTATTAGTCGAGTCGAATACTATTCTTTCTCTCGATATTTTTGGATACCGTGGTTGGGTTATTGGTTTTCGATGATACGATAATTTAGAGCCTCGTTAGCGCCATATTAACGAAGTTAGGTGATTATTTGTGACCCCGTTGGGAAATATATTAGGAGCATGTATTCTATTATAAAAAGACAAAACTGTTTTACATGCTATAGTAATAAGCAATAGTTCATCGGAATAAGACAGAGGACTCAAAAAATTGACGTCAAATCAAATTTTTAACGATAGGAAACCAAAATTACTATACATTCCAAGAAAATAATCCCAATACTTGATCCGAGTATTCGATCAGAATAAAGTACTATACTCTGCAAAAAGAATTAGTCTGGAGTACCTACCTCTTCGAATTTCGCCATACATCATTCCATTCCATCTCTTTGCCTAATTCCACCTCATTTTTCACCTGGATCTTCCTCCGTGCAGCTCTCTTTCAATGTCATCAATCACCAATCGTTCATCCGAAAGGACGCGTCTCCGGTAGCCGTTCCTCGAGTTCCGCGCGTTTCCGGTAGAAACGAGCGGCCATTCCTCTTCATAAAGAGGTCTACGTAGGTCTAATAGTCGAACAGAGGCGGGGTGAAGCGAAAAATTGCGGTCACGGAGGATGTTCGAGGCGCAGGTGCGCGGGATACCAGTGGAAATAGAATGAAACCACGATTCGAAATTCCTACTTGACAATACGGGAGAATGGCAAGGTGGAAGAGGCAGAGGGATAAGCGTGTTACTAGCCAGACGAGCGTTTCGACGACGACGTCTTAGTCTGCTCGATTTACGAGCGCTGTTTTGCGAAAGAACGAACGCCTTGCCAATGCCAGTAGTACAAGCGTAGCATATGTTCGACACCGTGGGGGTCTGCGTAGCGAGCAGTCGTAGAAGAATTTTATGCTGGTAGTGATTTGATAAAATGCCTGATAAAACGTTTACGATAACCTTTCTGGAGAAAAGGTTTGGGAATTTGTTGATATATTTATTGATTTATTTAAATTAAAGCTTTCGAGGTGAATCATTTTTGGATTGAAATGAAATTGGGTTCATTTTAACATTGGGATTAGTAATTTGTACAATGATATTTGAGCATACTGTGTGTTGATAATTATAGTTAAATGGTGTAACAAAAATAAACTAGTTTAAATGAAAGTTAAAATTAATATTAATTTATTAATTTGGAAGTTCCACTGTTAAAATTTGGATAATAATTTTGTTAAAAATATAGTTTCGTATAGTCCAATATAACAAAATAATCATATTCTATTTTTATAATAAATTAAAGTTCACGATGTTAGTTTAAAATTATTTATGATAACCTTCCTGGAAGAAAGGTTTGGGAATTTGTTGTTATTTGTTGAAATTTATTTAATTCTTTAAATTAAAGCTTTCGAGGTTAATCATTTTTGGATTGAAATAAAATTGGGTTCATTTTAACATTGGGATTAGTAATTTGTACAATGATATTTGAGCATACTGTGTGTTGATAATTATAGTTAAATGGCGTAACAAAAATAAACTAGTTTAAATAAAAGTTAAAATTAATATTAATTTATTAATATGGAAGTTCCACTGTTAAAATTTAGATAATAATTTTGTTAAAAATAGCGTTACAAAATAATTATACTTTATTTATATAATAAATTGAAGTTCACAATGTTAATTTAAAATTGTTTAGAGTCATATTTAACAGTATTTCGTATTAAACAAAATTCTATTAACGATTAAATTTATTGTATAAATTAAAAATATTAAAATATTCAAAATGAAACAAATTTAGCCTACTTAATTATTGTACCAAATTTCAAAGTATGTTAAACAATATATTGTATAGTACTGTAAAGTATATTAAACAAAATTCTATTAACGATTAAATTTATTTCATAAATAAAAAATATTAAAATATCTAAAATGAAACAAATTTAGCCTACTTAATTATTCTATCAAATTTCAAAGTATGTTGTCAATTGAAAGTTATTTAGAATGCAAGTTCAATATCCAAAAAAGTTTCACGCTAAACAAATTTTATCGGTAAACAATATTTCGTAACGAAATTAGCCGTGCTAAAATCGTGAGAAAAAGTATAAAAATATATTTGTTTGAAACATTTTCACGGTTCAGAAGTCTCTATGCACGCCTGTGTGCAAAAACTTTCGGTAAATACGGGTTTATCCGTGAAAAGTATGATACTTTTCATCGATACTTTTTCCAAGCAGCGAAAAAAGAGAGGCGAATCCAATACCACGGCGCTGCAAAACATCGACAAAGCCCGCATCTGTGCGGTATGCAACGAAGTATTTTGAACATTTGTTTAACTCGCGAATTCATCGGGAATATTTTACATGCTGGAACAAAAGCAAAGCTCTTGCCACAAGCCGCACAACGTTCTCCTTTCCGTGCACGAATCTTCTAATTGCCGCAGCAGGTGGGGCGTCTGTGCTCGAGGGTACGATCTTAATGAAAATTTACCTCGTGCCCGAGCTTTAACAATTTTTCCATTAACGAGGTCGACCGCGTTTAATATCTTGCCCCGATTTAATCGTCGACACAACGCCGTTCCAAGCACTGTCTTATCACCCCAATTACCAAAACTAGAAGCCTATCTCCGTGCTCTAAGACGCTTACGAAACCTTAAGAAACGATCAAATTCTAAAGTTCGGAAGCTTGCGCGATACTTATTACGAGCTTCTCGCGAGTAAATCACTGTATTCGATATTTTTCTACGCAACTTTTTAATTTAAGCCTGCAACTTTCCTATGGAAACCTTTGAATTTAGCTTCAAATAGGGTGGTTACCCTTTAAGAAAAAGTATTATTTAATACTATAATATTCGTGGTATAATATAATTTTATATATTATCTTTGTCGACATTTTTTTATTTAAAATGTTCCTCGCGATTTTCTGTTTATTATCTTCTTATTTTTATCTTGATTCTATTATACTACATTTAAATTTAACGTATACCACAGTACGTGTTATTATATTATTTATTTTTATTAAAATTTATCACTCGTTAGAAATAAATACACGATGTTATACAATATTATTTATTAAAACTTTCTCAATTTATATATAATATTGTATATCGTATAGATTATACTATACTTTCGATTATAATTAATCATATTATATTTTTAATTTAACGTATACCGAAGTACGTGATGTTATATTATTTATTTTTATTAAAATTTATTACTCGTTAGAAATAAATACACGATATTATTTAATATTCTAGAGACTTGGGTGGTGATAAATAATACTTATTTATTACTTAATAATAAGAATAGATGATTAACAATATGTGCGTGACGATTAAGCATACGAATCTATATCAGCTACAATTTAAGACTACAATTCGATTCAACAACACAGTGACAATTCAGCCAATTACGACTAATGACTCACAACTAAAATACAACTAAACAACTAACAATTAATAACCCCTCTCTACACAACTCTGTTTTGATCACTCCCTAAGATTCTCTTCCAATCACTCTTCTCAAGAACTCTTCACTAACCACTTTTGCCTTCTTTTATATCTTCCTCAACCTGTATACGTTTTCCAAAAGCCTCCCTCAACATGACCAAATATGGTCATGTTTAGGGCCTGACGCATTGCCGGGGTTTTTCCGACCGACTTGGCCCTCGAACCCACCGTGACTTTCTAAGCTAAAGTTACCTATACACGAGGTGGAAATCCTGCGATACTACAATATTATTTATTAAAATCGTTTCAATTTATATATAACATTCGTAGAGAAATTGAAGAAAATTTTTAAATTAATGTACGATTCAGAAAATGAAAACATTTGATGGATATTAACGTGTATTGTAATGTATAGTATACGCGATATAATAATATCTCGTTGCAAAAAATGATTGCGTTTAGGATGAGATCTTGGTATTCCAGAATAAGGAGAACAATAGGGAATCCAGAGGGAAAAGAGAAGGCAGGGGTGAAGGCGTCGTTGGCCACGGTAGTTAAAGCGATTGCCCAGAGACACAACGAACTTCTGAATATCGTGAATTCGAATCCCAATGCCCGAAATGTTCCCTATTCCAGGGGATTTGGAAATTGTCTTCCTATTACGAATTCGACACGAGTGTCTTTGCCTCGAGGAAACTTGCATAAAGACGCCTTCGTTCAAATGCGTAACAGCGCGCCATCTACGTACTCGTATTTATATTTTATTTCGAATTCTCGCCGGATTCTCCCGAGTAAACTGCATTTCGAACGGAATTCGAATGAAAACCAACACGTTTCTCTGGGAAATGAACGAGAATTAAGCAGATCCAATTTCCTTTCTGACCGATTACATCTTTATTCGCCGCGATGTTGCGAAACATTTAGGTTAGGTTGCCTCGATCGCAAGAAAAATTCAAAGGTGTTGCGTTTTAACCAAAACTTTAGTATAATTAGCCGTGGATCGAAGTCGTCGAACCATTTTTGCCATTTTTCCATTAAATTTGATCGATTTTCCACGAATTTTCGAATTTTCGTTTCTTTTCCCTTCGCTGAACAGTTTTTGATAGAATTTCAGTGGAAATCAATGGGTTTCTTTGGAAAATGAGCGGGAATTGAGCGAATCCAATTTCCTTCGTAATTGATTAGGTTTTCAGTCGTCGTAAATTTGCAGAAGTTTTGTGTTGGTTTGTTCGAAACGAAGGGAAAACTGGAAGGTCTTCGTTTCTCGATAAAGGTACACGATAATTAGGAGAGGAAGTTATCGAATTATCGAATTATCGGTGCTTTTTCTTGATTGCGATCCTTGTTTCTTGCAGAGGATCGAGCCACAGTATGTTTGTTGTAGAAATTTTTATTCCAGGGGTGGTGCTTGAGGTAGGTCATTTTCCCTTGCCTCTAAGTAGTGTCGAGTTGCACTTGGAATAAGCTTTTGACGAAGAGAGCTAGGATTTCCTTCCAACTTTCTTTTTCACCCTTATATTAATTGCTATAGTTGTGGTTTGTATATCTGCGACCTGAAAATTTATTTTGCATATACGATAAATAAGTTTATTTATTTAAGATTCAATATATAGTATATTTCAATATTTTATAATGGAAAATCATTTATTTTTATATTTTAATTAATAATTATCCATTTAGATTTTTATTTCTTTTCCTGTTCTAGAATTCGAAATTCCATAGGCGAATGATTTTTCCGAAATATCCGAACGTTGTTGATATTTTAAAATATATGGGTTCATCCGCGGAAATAGATATGGAATATTTCATAACACGAATTAGAACGAAATTCGGTTGTTTTCGGGTTGTCAAATAATTTTCGACGGAAAAGCAAGCAATTAAAAAATAACGATGGCCAGAGCAATTGAACGCTAATGGAAAATTGAACTATAGCGAGGGGAGAAGTGCACCATATTTTACAAAGTGTCAGAGCGGCAGTCCGGGGAAAATTTGAAACCTTTTCAAAACGCTATTTAACTTTTCACTATGGCGGAAAGGTGGTGAAAAACTGCAGCAGAAAATCATCGAATAACAAAACTACACCGAAATTGAATTAACATATTGAAATAAATTTATAGCGTCCACCAAAATGAAAAAGTTGCATCAATTCATCGCCATCGAAAAATATTCCATAGTAAATAACACTCTTAAGTAAATTAATATATATATAATCTAAAGAACTATGAAAATTTTTACCATAGATGGAAAAAGATGTCCAGTGCAAAATTGTTATATTAAAAAGACCATAAAACCTGTTACCATTGTGGATAGAAATGGACACCAATATTTTCTAGGTTTTTTAATAGTTAACACATTAGTATATTTTGATAAAAATATTTAAATAATGAAAACAACTCGCAATTAACTATTTGAAACAAGAAAATTCATTGACACTTCCTAAAAAATTCTTCTCTCTCATTACTTTCTCATTAACCATTATATACCCATGTTTCCTCTTTGACAATTCTCACATAATTGTTTTATTCTGGCACATTCTTCTAAACAATTTTTCAAACATTATTCATAAACTGCACTTGCATATATTATATTTATATCACTGCAAATGAGTTTCACTTATTCAACCTCATTTTCATTCACACGTATAAAACCAACACTCACAGAATGTTGTTCATGGTAAAAAAATCATTGGGTATAATGATTCTTTGAAATCATGTGATACTCAATTGAGAAGTTTTCTTATTATTAATGTTTTTATTAATTTTAATTTGTCTTAAATAACACCTTCAAATAAATTAATATAATATATATAATCTAAAGAAGTACGAAAATTTCGACCATTAATGGAAAAAGATGTTCAGTGCAAAGATATTATATTAAAAAGACCATAAAACCTGTTACTATTGTGACTATAAAAATCATTATATTAAAAGCCATGAAAATCTCTATCGATAAAATCCATAATACTTAATCAGATTCTACCTAATCTTCCTCTACATCTTCCTCTGTTTTTTACAGGATATCTTGCACGTTAAAAAGCTATTTTTTTCATCTAGACAGCGTCAAACGTTCGACACAGAACACTCTCGCAAAGAGTCCAGTGGCACAAACGGAACGATATATTCTGCTCGGGTTTCCGGCGAGAAATAAAAACCCTCGCGTTTTTCGTTTCGAAAAACACGGGAAATCCTCGAATTTTCCCTGTGCCGGTCATTGATCAACCACGTCGACTTAACTCCACCCCCTTGCCTGTAATTGGCTTCGTTAAATGAAATCTAAGGCGAAAATAGAATTTATGAATAAATTTTCGATTATCCCGCGGGATCAGCGCCATGGCGTCGGTGCGGTTTCCGGCGCTCCCGTTCCCGGAAGTCCTTGAGAAAAATGCAATCGTCAGGTTTTCACGCAGCTGAAAGAGGGATGACGTAGTTTTGGACGAAACAAAGCGTGGATGGGTGAGGTGAAAAATGGAGGGATTTAATCGTACGAACGATCGATCAATTACGGTGTCCAATACGAATTTTAATCTGTATCCATTGGGTAACTTTTGTAGACCACGAATATTTGATCGAAATTGCCCTATAAGCCTAAGCTTTCGAAGGTGGTGAATTTTCCTGAAAACCCACGATTTTTGGCTAAAACGAAGTGTTACGTAAAAATTGGAAACAATTTTTCAATTGGAAAAATTGGGAAGTGTTGCATAATTGTTGGGAGGTTTAGTCTTGTCTCAAAAGTTAGGAGAGAGTTTAATTTTTAATAATTTTATAGTATAGTTATAGCATAGTTATAGTTATAATATAGTTCATTGGTATTTATGTATCGAGTACCGAAATCGTGCTCAATTACAAATGATTTTGAGAAGTTTCTTATAATTTTGCGATTGGTATGAAAAAGTACATGAGAACGTGTACATGTTACGTGTATGCAAAATGGGATCTAATGGATGATGATCTTGGTGTCGATTATGCTTGACTACGGCCCTGGTGGGCTATTATCATTTGACAGATATTTGTAGATATTAAAAATTAGAAAACAAGCTAAAATTCGTTGTACAGTATTATCAATGGAATGTAATGCTGAAAAGAAAATAGTTAGAGGTAATTAAATTGTAATAGGATTTAATTGGGAAATTTAATTTAATCAGGGGAGATGGTATTTTATGATTATGTATTAAGTTCAATTTCGAATTGGAATTAAATTTAAAATTAATCTGCAATTGAAATTTGATTTAAAATTAATTTTGAATCGATTTATAAAGTAAGCCAGCATCTACGATAATATTTATCTTCAAGCATAAAATATAATAGTTTCAAAATTTGATCAACTTATATAGCTTTAATAATTCTTAATTTTCAAGTACACTTAATAATATAGGGTAGAAAATGTTAATTGTTAAATGAAAATGTTAAGTATAGAATATAATAGTTTCAAAATTTGATGAATTTACATAACTTTAATAATTCTTAATTTTCAAGTACTCTTAATAACGTAAGATAGAAAATGTTAATTGTGGATACTATATTTAAATGAAAAATATTATTTATTTATTAAACAATATTATATTTGAGGCTAAAAATTATCCAGGAATACTCGATCCACTCATACTTTCTTACATAATCACCTATTTTACATCAATATATATATATATTAAAAATCTATGTCAACTATTACCACAGAAACTGTGATTTCTTTTCAATTTTTCTACCCTGTTTTCGATTTGGAAAGATTGGCAATGAATAATATTAGTTTCATATAATTACCGAAGAATTAGCGTCCTTTTTAAATGTTCGAGAATTTAAATAGAGAATTATTCGTTCGTACTATTCGCGATAATACACGGCACGACGTTCGTTGAAGTTGTACGATGCATTATTTATCGCGAGTCTCTAAATCTTAGAGCACCATAGCGAGTATTTGCATTTGAATGATCACTCTGGCAAGAATATATTCCGCTTGTGTTTCGTCTCGAAGATGGACGTGCAGCGATACGCGTGCAATTAAAATGCAGTCAAGTCGATGACAGACAGGCGCTTAATCGAAGAAATCAAATGGCTGAATAAGTAGCACGTACAATGTAAGCAGATTCTTCTTTCATTCCAGTTCTCCCATACTCCCATTCTTTCGCGAGGAGGGTTGCATTTTAATTTCCCAGAAGAGTCAATGTTTTCCGCGATAACATTATTTCCTTCCGCGAGGTAGAAAAATATGGCTCTGGATGCATTTCTCATTTGATTAGAGATAAATTCTCTTTCCTAGTTTTTCGCATGCTCCCCCTTCCAATAATCCCATCCGTTTTTGTTCGGAAAAGATGATACTGCGTCTGTCCGAGATATTTCTGCTTGTTTCACTGTACAGATTTTTATTCAATATTGCTCCTTTAATTTAATTTATTTTTGCTTCCACTAAGAAAATTATTTCGGATTTTTATTACATTATTTGATGTAATAATTATTTTATGTAATAATTTATAGGTATTGGCTAATTTAATTAATTTTTGGAAAATTTTGTGTCGTAATTGGGTCGAAATATTTCTTATTATATTAATTATTGTACTAAATATTTATTAGATTATTTATTTGTATTTACTATAATATATAGTATATTATTTGCCACATTATTTGCTGGATTTATTATTGCGCTAGTTTTACTTCTTATATTACTATTTTTACTCTTCCCATTGATATGACATCGTTACGTGCCTCTCAACGGCAGAACCGGAAATGTTATTCTCGAATTTTTTTACACGCACGTTCATATTATTCTTGCATCGGATTAATTAATTCAAGAAGAAAGAGGTTCGTAATTACCTAGTCCGTACCACGTTGCCCGAGCCAGGTGCCCACGTAACGATTTTTCCAAAGCAATTTCGACGGGTGTCCAACGGACCGCGACGAACAATATTTGCTTTACGTTGCAATCCTTTTGGAATCGGCATATTTCGTCAAGGTATTGTTCCAGGCAATTCTCCCGTAATCCCAGTTCCATTCGAAATTTAATTTTCTCGTCGACGGGCAAGCACGAACGAATTCTGCAAACGACCAACTGTCCAATTGTCAATAACAATCTCCGTTATCGATGACGACTATTTTTCCAACATTTTTCCAACCCCGAAACTTCGAAAAAATAACATAGCGTTAATCCTTGATTACGAACAGACGATGAATTATTATACACGCGAATGAAAATAAAAATCCAAGATTCCTAATACTCGTCGTCAACGGAATCAGTAGACCACATTATAATACTATCAGGAATTTCACTAAAATAGAACGGAAAAAATAAATAAATAAATTTAACAATAAATTGCGTTCGAGGTAAATAACATTTCCCCATTTTTAACAAGTAACGTCGTAGTCGATTGGCGACTGACGATTTTCCCAAACACTTCCGAAAGCACGTCGCACAGCATAATCATCTTCACCTGTGGTCTCTTCCAATTCCAGGACCCCAGGATGACCAAAGAGCGCACGGAGCAGCCCCACGTCACTCCCCAACGTCGCACACCGCATCAAACTCCATCCGTGGCACGTACCTCCTGGAACGTCTCCAAAGAATCTGCCGAAGAATCTCGATTCGAGCTCGCATGAACTCCAATGCTCAGCTAGAGTTCCTCTAGGAAAATGTCTGTCTGGGAACCCGCGACTAACGCAGCCGAGCACCTATTGACATCTGACTGCTCTAACTACGACATTCTCCGTTAGCCAACTGAACCAAAACCTCATTTCCGTTCTTCAATGGCCTGGCAGGATTTCCCGTGCAAGCACGTCGACGAGGACGTCGAAGAAGCGGAAGAGGGTGTCGAGCAGCGAGTGGAATCGCGGTAACGGAACCAGACCAAAGAACCTGGAAGATAGACCCAGCAGCAAGGCCTGATCTCTGAAAGATGGAGCTGAACGAGACGATGGAAGAGAACCCGAGCAACGCTACAGACCTGCCTAACCTGTCCACAGTGCTCATAGACACAGGCCAATCGAACCGTTCCACCAATCCTTACGTCCATAAGAACAGCCACGAGTTGGAACAGGTCCTTCTTCTCACGATGAAAGCTACCGTCATGGGTTTCATCATCCTCTGCGCTCTCTTTGGCAACTTGCTGGTGATCGTGTCGGTAATGAGGCACAGGAAGCTCCGGGTAATTACCAATTACTTCGTGGTCTCGTTGGCTCTGGCCGATATGCTGGTAGCCATATTCGCCATGACGTTCAACGCGTCCGTCGAGCTGTCCGGCAGATGGCTGTTCGGCTACTTCATGTGCGACGTCTGGAACTCCCTGGACGTGTTCTTCAGCACCGTTTCCATTCTTCACCTTTGCTGCATCAGCGTGGATCGTTATTACGCGATCGTCCAGCCGCTCGACTATCCATTGATCATGACCAACCTTCGACTGAGCACCATGCTGAGCGTGGTCTGGTGCTCGCCGACGGTGATGAGCTTCCTGCCTATCTTCGCCGGATGGTACACCACTGAGAAGCACCTCGAGTTCCGCAGGAATTACCCTGACGTGTGCATGTTCCAAGTGAACAAACTCTACGCCGTGATCAGCTCCAGTGTCAGTTTCTGGCTACCCGGGATCATCATGATCGCCATGTACTACAAGATTTATAGGGAGGCTGATCGTCAGGAGAGGATGCTGTACCGGTGAGTTGCATTTTCTATTCCAAAGTTCAGTTTGGATCCTCTTGCTTTTGCTCTTCTTGTGTTTATTATGGTACATACTACAAATATTATTGCTTAGGATTTTGGGGTCACTGCGAGGTTTGACGCTGAACCTGCCACGGTCAAATAACCGGTGAATGAGAAAGCAATAGAATCTTGATGAAATGAAACAATTCGAGATATCGAAAGATTGATTACACGTATATCTGGGAAGAAAAATTAGGAAAACGAGTGGCTAAGATGATAAGATTCAATAAGGAATTTTAAATGACAGTTTTAAGCCATAGTACATTTAACGTTAAAGTTATATTAAACCAGCCATAATCGAAGTTTAGCTGGGTACCTTTTAGATAAAATTTTACTGTCGAAGGGGAGAAAATTGTAATCTATATCTGCACTGCTAATTTTTAATTAATATTAAAATCGTTAATGGAAGATTGCGTATTAGGTATCTATTGGGCATTTATCATACGAGCAAGTATAGGGAAAAATCTAAACTTTCAGTTCGTGTATCCTGAAATTTAATTATTTATTTACGTACAGTAGGTATGTTTAATATTAAAACTTTTAATATTCGAATTTCTCGAAATTCTTCTTTCTTCTCGACCATTTATCTGAAGTATGTTTATAATAAGATTTCGCGATGAGACGCTAACTAAAGAATTTACTAACAAAGCGAAATGTTCAACGGAACTTCGGGATTGGTTCTATTGCATTTCATGAATAACTCGCTAATTACCGTGTTTTGCGTCCGCCATCTCATTAATTATTTAGGCATGCAATTATGTGGAAAGCTCGAAGCTGTATCGAGATTTCAAGAGTATTTGACACGTACTCGCGATAATTATTCTACGCTCTGTTCCAAATTGCACACTGGCTAACATACTATAGGAACGTTGAATTGCAGACAGCTCTTCGATAAGTGAATGAAATACCAGTGAAATAATAACGATATTTAACAAACTTAATCCAACATTCTTTCGCTCTACCTCTGCTTTCGACAGATCCTTGCTGTCTGATTCCTCCTACATTCCTCGCAACATTCTTTTCTCCAATGTCTTCCTAGCTTTTATAGAAGACATTGATTCGGAAACATCTTAGTTAGAACCAAAACTTTTGCCAAAGTAAGTAAGAATCTGATTGTCCCTTGATCCAATCTAGAGAGACCCGGAGACAGCTTAGGTTTATGGTGGTGTAGCGGCCATTATTCTCACTCTTGCCACTAGATGGATTCCAACTTCAAGGAGGAAAAGCCTCCACTTCCTATATATACAACTTCCAGACCTTCCAATAGTATTCTCGTCTAAGGCAGGGTCTACTAGGTAGCCTTACTAATGAGTCCACTAACAGGCCCAGGACGAAATGCATCTCTTCCTTTTCCATTTGTCTCTTCTAGCACCTGATAGGTCACCAAATTTTAATAATTAGTCTACGTGAATCATAAGATGAGAAAGCTCAAATAAACAAAATTAGAAGCTTCTAACGTACGATATTATTTTAACTTTTACTTCAAATAGTTGAAAGCTTAAAGCTCACACAGTAGAATCATACCTAATTAATCATACTTATTTTAATACAAAATTTTAATAAATAGTTTATTTGTGCCATCAACTAGAAAACAATTTTTGAGAAAATTTGTATTGGCATATCTATCATTTTCACATCATGTATCATAAAATAAAAAAGCTCGAATAAAAAAAAAATAAATGGAAGCTTCTATCGAAACGATAGTATTTTATCTTCTATTCTAAATAGTCGAAAGCTTAAAGCTCGCACAGTAGAATCGTACCTAATTAATAATACCTATTCTAATACAAAATTTTAACAAGTCATTTATCTGTACCATCACATAAAAAATAATTTTTCAGAAAGCCTGCATTGGCATATCCATCATTTTTCACATGCAATAAATTCCACCATCCCAAGAATGTTATTATCTTCATCTTGTTACCTGGTTCGCTCGTCCCTGGCCCATTTGCCATCCCTAATATCACCACACGGGAGTCCTCGCGTAAAACCGTCTAGTTTCACTTTTCCCACCAATTGCTTGGCCGAAAGAACCATTTCCTGACATCCTGATCGGTGTAGTCGGAAATATCGGCACGCAGACTCCTTTTTCTCGTCGACCGGAAATTGGATACGTTGAGGTCGGCCGGAAATCACCGACGCGAGAACTGGAGAACCGATGCTACGCAGCTGAGAACGTTTATGCATCTTCCAGGAGTCGTTCGACTCGTCTACCTGGACCAGGCACGTGTAAATAACGACGCAAATAACGATGTAAATAACGACTAACGATAGATACAACGTTCTACGCGTATATATGTCCCTCCATTTTGATCCGAGAGCGAATTATCTCGTCAGGACAACTGTTTCGGGTCAGCAGAGTAGTTCTGGTAGTTGCATCAAATTAGAGAAAATTCCAGGAGAATTTGGACACCAAAAAGAGACGAGGGTCGGCTAACGAGATTTTTCACGTTTTTGAAAATTCCTGCAGCATTGTTGGCGTGATAATGAGCTGGATTGTAACTGTGAATTAGGAGACATTGTTAGAGGCTTCGAGTGATTCTCAACGAGGGCTACATGGCCCCTCCGAATTTTTATAACCACGAAAAAGTACAAAAATTAGGTACCATGGATGTAAAAATATATTACAAATATTTATTTATATATTTTGTGTGGAAAAATAAAGAAAGAGAATATTCCAGTGTTTAGAAGAAAATTAAAAGGCAAACAGGGTTGAGAATAAATTTTTATATTCACCTAGCAACCTCAGAAATTTTTTAAAATTATATTTCAATTCGAGAATTCGTCTAATTAGGAAACTAAATTAATCCTGTATAAATTTAAATAATACACATTTTTATTTCCCTGTCAAAACTTCTTTCACCAAAGCGACTGTCTACTAAATATAAATCCGTCGTTGACAATTCTCATTTCCAAAATTATAGAAAATACTGGAGAAAAGCCAGAGGTACAAAAATTCGCGTAATTCCATTGTCAAGATCGGGACTGAAGGGCAGTGCGTCTAAAAAGTGCCAAAACCGTGACGGTCATTTTTCACCCCTCCGCGAATCGGGTGACGCACGCTCGTGCTTTTTAGCGAACGATCGCAGCCGTCGAGAGACGAAAGAAGCGAAACGCGAAAATCGTAATTAACTGCGAGAAGAGAGTAATTACAGGGATGTTGGCTTCGCGAGATGTTCCGACTCGCAATTCCATTCTCTTGGCCGAAGTCGGGCGGGGGGAAGAGGGCGGAAGAGAAAAGCTCGTAAATTTTCCCAAGCTTCGTTGACCAATTTTTTATCTGGAATGGTCGGTTAAGCGAGCTGGGATTAATAGATAGCTGCGAGTTCCTGATTAAATTACTATTCGTATCCCAGTTGCTTCCTCGCTGATCGGGAAGAAACGAGCAACGGGTTAAATTGAAGAATTCAACTTTCGAGATGCTCGATGGAAATTTAATTGGCAGCTCCGAGTCTGAGAAGTTTTCACTTTCAACGATGGTATGTTGTTTGAAGTATAGCGTAATTCGGCGTTGTATAGTGTTTCCTTCCTCGAGTTCAGCTTTCAGGTTCTTGCTTCATCCCTGGGAAAAATAGAGGCAAATTGCTAAAGTAAATGTCAATATTGTAACGAAATATTAAAAATTTTGTTGAATAAATTATAATCCAATTACAAAATTATTTTAATAATCTTACATTATTCTGTACGATATAAATACGACGAAAAGTCACGGAATAATTCATACATAGATTCATTTCTAACAAATTTTTGGTAAAACATTCTTTGGTCTAAAATTCCCCCCTAAATTTGTTTTCGAATATTTTATATTAAAATATTTAGAAAGAGGTCGAGCATTGATTTTGCCAAATATTCCACTAATTGCAAATTAAAAATGAAAAGTCTGAAGCCAGTCGTTCTAACCTATTCGTTTTCCACAGTGATTATAAGTAAGAAGCTGTCAAATGTCACAGAGGGCACGGTAAACCTCTCGTCTCAGTTTCTTTTCGATTTCCCGTGTCGAATAATTACGACCAAGCTCTGGTTACGACCAAGCCTTTAGACTTGCAGATATTTTCTAAGGACCCTTTCAAAGATTTATGTCCCACTGTTCAGCGTAATCGTTCCAACAACGATGGCACTACCACCGATGCTCGAAAGACGAGGTGGAGAAGTTGGAACGGGCAAATGGGAAGGGTGGAACGTCTTCTGCGAGGAGGGACGTGGCCAGGTCGTGATTATGAATCGATCCAGGGATTCTAGAGGCTGAAGCGGAATGCCTTTTGGTCGGTTTCTTATATCCCGTGGACATGTTCCTGCGGGATACTGATAAACGTACCACTCGCGATATTACACATCCGGGGCCTTGGAACCTTCGGATTTTTGTCCGAGAAAGGGGCCTTATCTCTTCGGCAATGACGAATTTTATCGATTCTAACGCTATTGCAGGGAGCCATCCTATGTATAGAGATATTTTGGTACCAGTTTTCCAGTTCTGGGCCACTTTCTATATTTTTAAGAAATTTAGTAGCTGTCATTTTGACAGCAAAGTTGTATCAAAATTGCTGTGTCTTTTATATAAAAATGAAAAGGATAAAAATGTTTTTGAAACATTTTGGATAATGCAGAAATGTTTTAGTATTAATTTTAATTTTTTAAAATATAAATTGATCGACAGTTCAGGGAATTTTTATTTAAACGGAATAATAATTTGGAAACCAGAATTTTATATTTATTCGTGAGTTTCTGAGTTCGGAATTTTTGATAGGTTTCTCGTGTGTTATTCGCGGTCTTCGAGAACTAAATCTCGCAATTTGTTCATGATCAATTCGTGATCAAGTGTACGGAATATGCAGCCAGGATCACGCTTGGGAGTACTAATTAAGAAGAGCCTTGCCTGGTGATCCTAGAACCTGTTACCGTTGTCCTTGCGGATGTCCATCGTTGAAGATGGAGTTACGATACGTTAATCGCCATTC